CTATACCCAAAATATAGCATACTATAGTAACATAGCCATATCAATGTTTATAGCAGCTCAATTCATAATAGCTAAACTGTGGAACCAACCTAGATTCCCTTCATCAGATGAATGGATAGAAGAAACTGTGGCATACATACACAATGGAATATTACTCAGCATTTAAAAAGAGTAAAATTATGGCATTTGCAGGCAAACGGATGGAGTTGGAGAATATAATGCTAAGTGAAGTTAGCCAATCCCAAAAAAACCAAAGGCCAATATTCTCTATGATAAGTGAATGTTGATCCATAACTGGGGGCAGGGCATGGAAAAAAGGAGGAACTGTGATTGGGCAAAGGGTGGGGAGGTGAGGGGAGAAGGTATGGGGGCAAGAAAGATGGTGGAATGAGACGAACATCATTACACGAGATAAATGTATAACTGCACATATGGTGCGACACTACATTGTGTACGACCAGAGAAATGAAAAGTTGTGCTACAACTCTGCACAATGAATCAAAGTGCATTCTGTTGTCATATACACCTATTTAGAATAAATAAATCCCTTAAAATTAAAAAAGCATAGATAAAAAAGTTATTTGAAATAATTCTATTTTCCTTTGTTATATCATCAATTTAATATAGTTAATTTGTTTATTTACTGCAAAACAAAACAAAACTTAAAAACAGTTGGCATAATGATGCACACCTATAATCCCAGTGACTTGAGAGGCTGAGACAGTCCAGATCAGAAGTTTAAGGCCAGCCTCAGCAACTCAAGTGAGATCCTAAGCAACTAAGCAAAAACCTATCTTAAAAAAAAAAAAAAATTAAAAGAGCTGAGGATGTAGCTAAGCAGTGAAGCACCCCTGGGTTCAATCTCCAGTATCAATCAATCAATCAATAGGATTACCATATAATCCAGAAATCCCACCTCTAGGAATATATATAACAGAATACTAAAGAGGGTCTTGAAGAGCTATATGAACAAGCATGATCATAACAGCACACTAGTTATATTTCCCAAGAGGAGAAGAAACCCAAATGTCCATCAGTGTACCAGTAGATATTATTCCACCTTATAGGATGTATCTAAATTAGTTAAATGCACAGAAACAGAAAGTAAATGATGGTTGTCAGGGACTTGGGGAAGGGGAAAAGGAGTAGTGGTTATTTAATAGGCACAGAGTTTGTTTTGCAAGATAAAAAAAGCTCTGGTGATATTTTACAACAATGTGAATATATTCAATACTTATGAACTATACACTAAAAAATCGTTCAAGATGGGAAATTTTATGTTTTTTACTGTAACAAAAAAAAAAAGGGGGGGGTGGGGAGGGCCCTGGAATTGCAATAACATAAAGACACTTTTATAAAATTCTCTTCTAAATATTACCTAAAAATATATAAGTTACTTAAACCCAAAATAAAAACAAATTCTTCACTTTTACCTTAATGTTTAACACTTCAATAAAAAATAAATATGCTTTCTCAAAATTTTGTATTTTAAATATATCTTTTAATATAAATACAAGGCTATTTATGTTATCATTCTTTTAATAGTAAAGGACTAGAAAGGACCTATGGGGAAATAAGTGAATTAATTATAACATATCCACAAAATAGAGAATTTAAAAGATCTTGAAGCCAGACATGATGGTACATACCTATAATGCCAGATACTTGGGAGGCTGAGGCAGGAGGATTCCAAGTTCAAGGCCAGCCTCAGAAACTTAGTGAGACCCTGTCTCAAAATTTAAAAAGGGGGACTGGTGTTGTGGCTCAGCAGTAGAGCGCTTACCTAGTACATGTGAGGCTCTGGGTTCAATCCTCAGCCCCACATAAAACTTAAAATAATAAATAAAATAAAGGCATTGTATCCAACTGCAACTAAAAAATAAGTTGTTTTTTTTTTTTTTAATTTAAAAAGGGCTGGGGCTGTCTTATGTAGCTTGGTGGAACGCCTCTGAGTTCAATCCCCAGTATTTAAAAAAAAAGAAAAAGGGCTGAGGTTGTGGCTCAGTGGTACAGCGCTTGCCTAGCACATGTGAGGCACTGAGTTCAATCCTCAGCACAGCATAAAAATAGATAAATAAAATAAAGGTATTTTTTAAATAAGAAAAAGAAAAAAATTTTAAATGGGCTAGGGATGTAGCTCAGTGGTAGAATAAGTACCTGCCTACCATGAGCAAGGTCCTGAGTTTAATCCCAGCACTTCAAATAAAGAAATAAAAAAAGTCTCTACACCCTGGGGCTTACTGCCAAGGAAAAAAGCAAGAGCACAAAGTATTTATAGTATGCTTTATCTGTGTGTGTGTGTGTGTGTGTGTGTATAATATGTACATTTTATTTTTAAAAAGGTGAAAATAATTATTGAAAAATTTAAATTTTAAACATGGTTACCTATGTAATAGGGAGGAAATAAAGTAGATAGGACAGGTATGAAGCTTGATTTCTCTATAATATTTTACTTTGTAGATTTGACTCTGGAACCATGTAAATGTTTTACACAATTATAAAACAAAAATAAAATTGCCTCTAAAAACCACAAGCAAAAACAAATAAATGAGCATAATTTTATATCTAATTGATAATATATTCACATAAAGGAGAAATTTCAAGTGACTTTAAAACTGACTACACATCCCTAGTGGGATATATACTAACTAAAGACAGAAATACAAAAATCTTAAATCACTCTGAAAGAAATATTACTATTATTTTGAAACTGTATTATACTCTTTGGGTGTATATATACACTCTAGAATAAATCAAATATAATTACAATTATGTTAATAAATTAGGAAACAGTATTTTTAGTACAAAAGATAAAAGTCAAAGGAAAAAAATACCCAGTAAGTTTATTCTTTTCCAATTAATAAAAAAAAAAATTTCAACTGTATTCTCCTGTAAAGGTGAAAGTGGTTCCGTTTAGAAATGGGTGATTCCTAACCTGGGACAGGAAATATACAAAGATGAGCCTGCAATATCATACTGTAACTGAAAGTAAGGATGTGATGGTACAAGAGTTACAACAAAAGGACTTCACAGCTCAACCTGAGGTGCTTCCAGTGGCCAACAAGGGAGCAATCCAAATACTGTTACTTTGCCTACTTTGTTTTTCCTTACATGCCATCTCTCTTTCCTTCTCCTTGATCTCCTTACAGTTTAATTGTTCCCCCCTTGATAATAAACTCCCACATTCTCAAGAAACTTTTCCCCTTTTTTATATTTCATTTTATTTTTTAATTTGTTCTTTTTAGATATGATACATGAGAGTACATTGTATTTTGACGTATACTCCACATACGTGGAGTATAACTTATTCTAATTAGGCTCCTACTCTTGAAGTTATACATGGTGTGGAGTTTCACTGGTCATGTATTCATATACGAACATATGAAAATTATGTCTGACTCATTCTACTATCCTTTATATTCCCCATCTCCCCTCCCTTCCCTTCACTCCCCCTTGTCCAATCCAATGAACTTCTATTCTCCCCCCAATCCTTATTGTGTATTAACACCCACATATCAGAGATAGCATTCTGCCTTTGATTTGGGGGGATTGGCTTATTTCACTTAGCATGTTAGTCTATTAATTCCACACATTTATCAGCAAAAGTCAGAAATTCATTCTTTTTTATGGTGAAGCAATATTCCATTGTGTCTATATACCACATTTTCTCTATCCATTCATATGTTGAAGGGCACCTAGGTTGGTTCCATAGGTTAACTATTGTGAATTGACCTGCTATAAACACTGATGTGGCTGCGTAACTGATGCTGTAGGATGCTGATTTTAAGTCCTTCAGGTATATATCAAGGAGTGGAATAACTGGGTCCAATGGTGGTTCCATTTCAAGTTTTCTGAGGACTCTCCATACTGCTTTCCAGAGTGGATGCACCAATTTACAATCCCACCAGCAACGTATGAGTGAACCTTTCCCCCCACATCCTCACCAACATTTATTGTTATTTGTCTTCTTGATAATTGAATTATCAAGATGGAATTTCAGTGCAGTTTTAATTTGCATTTCTCCAATTGCTAGAGATGTCCCTTTTTTTTCTGATGTTACTAATCGTATGAATTATTTCATAATTTCCACTTAGAAATTCTGACAGCTCATCTGGGGAAGGAAATATTGTCATTTTTGAAGCCTCAATTCTATGCAGAAATGTAGTAAAATCCTCCTAAATATTCTTTGGACCTTCCAATTTTATCCTCTTGTCAAGTTACTCCTTCAAAAGCACAAAAACAAAGTGGGCTAGAATTCTAATGAAACTATTTAAATAGAGTAGGTAAACTTTTTTATATAAAGGGGTGTATAGCAAATATTTTGTGCTCTGGAGGCCAAGAGGTAATGTAAGGCGCTGGGGTTATAGTTCAGTGGTCGAGTGCTTGCCTAGTATAGGTGAGGCCCTGGGTTTGATCCTCAGCACCACATAAAAACAAACAAACAAACAAACAAAGTTATATAAAAAAGACACAATGTAAAGGATACTATAAAGATAATTACACAAAAATAAAAATAAATTTCCACTAATTTTTAAAAATAAATGTTTGATTTTTTTAACCTTTATTTTATTTTGCTTATTTTTATGTGATGCCAGGAAATGAACCCAGTGCCTCACACGTGGCAGGCAAGTGCTCTACCACTAAGCCACAACCCCAGCCCCTCCACTAACTTTTTGACAAAAATTTAAAATAAATATATGTGAGTAAAAATTTTTTTTGGTAATACAAGGTCTACTAATGAGATGGGATGGGAGTGAGATAACATTTTACTTAACTGAGATTTAAAAAGTTAATGTATATAGAGCTATATACATAGCTCAGTGGTAAAGCACATGCTTACCATGCACAAAGCACAGAGCATGCTTTTTGATCCACAGCACCAAAAAGGAAAAAGAAAGTTAGTTCTCCTTATCGGTTCTTTATCACCCAAATTGGTTGCAAATGTTCATGTGTAATAATGATCTGAGATTTCATACATGAAAAAATACTACTATCAATCCATAAGCATAAAATTTTTTTAATCAATAATCACCAGCTGCTCACCTACCAAAATATTATGCTTCCAAAATCTCTTGATGTGGATTTTGCATAACGAAGAGAGTTGCCCTACATGTTCCAATCATGACAGAACCCTTTTTTAAAGCATATGGTTTTAAATGAGCATATTCACTGCTTTGAAAGCACTTATAGAATTTTATTAAATTCTTTGATATTTGCCTTTTAGCATGTCATTATACAGCAGTTCAATCACTTCCAATTAAAGGTTATGTGGAAGCTCTTCAAATGCACAGTTCAGTGGATTCTGAAATATGGAAATCTCCTTTGCACTTGCAACAAATAAAAACCGAAAAACATTTCTGGAACTATAGGTTGGGCTTGGAAATTTTAACCACTACACATTTCTTTTGTTTAGCTTTAAACAGTATAGAAGTCCATAAAGCAGCTTAACATTACATATAATTTAAATAATGAATCAGTTGTGAAATGACTTTACTAACAAATAAGTTTCATATTTAAGAATTGTTTTACCTTAATGCATTTACAATGAATGCATTAAGAAATCTCAAGACTGTCGCAAGGCTAATTTTCAAAGTTTTTCAGTGATTGGTAATAGTGATGAATGGGTGGGCTTTCTTTTTTCTTTTTCTTTTTTTTAATATTTATATTTTAGTTGTAGTTGGAAACAATACCTTTATTTCACTTATTTATTTTTATGTGGTGCTGAGGATCGAACCCAGGGTCTCACTCTATCGCTGAGTCACAACCCCAGCCCCGTGGGCTTTCTTTTATTTTCTTTTGGGTGGGCTTTCTTATTTAGAAAAATTTCAATCTTGAATATTTAATCCCAAGATCAAAAACTTGAGGTTACTCTGACAAACCACTGAAATGCCAAGGGTAGGGGTAAATCAGAATAATGAGCTAATGTGATGAAAAATTCACAGAAGAGTGACAATAGCTAAGATCACAAGAGTGAATGAAATTCACAGTTGATACTGCTGGCCTAATAACAAATGAAAGATTTAGGTATTTTCTGCAAAGTACATACTAATGACAAATACTTTATGCAAACCTAGTGATAAATGTAAATTGGTTCAACTAAGGGTTTTCTTGCTCCACACAGGCTTTTATCAACATCAGCTATACACATCTTGGCACATTCTACTTCAGGTTTACAGAATTGGTATTTTAACATCTTTAAAAATAGTAATGTCTATAGTTCCATAAAAATCATTCATAAAGATAATTCTTCAGATGCACTTAGTATTGACTTCTTAAATAACAAAGATAATAACAAAGACTAAGCAGCACCTGTAACCATCTGTAACATCTGTCAACTTATCAAGAGACAAGGAATCCACTCAAAATAATTTATTTGCCTTGTTTTTTAAACAATTATTGATGCGGTTCCCACATCAAACAACATTTGATCATATCCCATGTTAGCTCAGTATTAAGGTAGGAGTTAAGGGATGTCAAGATGGTGGAGATGGGGGTACAAGAAAAAATGCTGGCTGGAGTATAAGACCCGATGAGTCATCATGACCCTGTTTAAGATACATCCCATTACCACAACAACTCCCTGCCAGTAAGGGTTTACTGCCAATGGCAATTCCTGCAACAGGTTCTGTATTCTAATTAGGTGAAAATAAAGTAACCAAAGGGAATAAATGGGACAAGTACTTCAACCAGGTCTGTATGGAAAGGACATAGAAGCACAGCTCAGGATATAAGACAAGGCTTGCCCAAATATTGGGGTCTTGAGCCAGTCTCTTCGGCTGAGTCCACTCCACTCACTCTAATGAATATTAACTTTCACTTTCACAAAATACATGTTCTGCCTGTTACTTCTGCAGACTTGCTCAATTCTTTGTCCTGGATGCCAAGAACCTGGATCCCCTACTAGACACCCCACCAGTATCAATAGTACCTATTTAAAAAATCCCAATAAGTGAAGAGTATATCAAAATTTCTGGTGCTATCTGACCCCAATATGTATTTCTTCCACTGAAATTAAGTGTTTTACTTCTGTGACTGTTAGGTGCAGCATACTTATGGTAGTCAACAACTGTTTGCTTCTTCTGAAACACCAAAGCTCTTAGATACTAGGATTTACTTATTCCTTTGATACTTTTTAAAATGCCAAACCAATGACTTAAAGGACTTGGATTTTGCAAGAAAATCTACATTCAATATGTAGATAAATGACTACTACATATTCCAGTCCACAAGTACCTCACATATATTCCTTATTCCTCCCAACTGGACCGGCTAAAAAAATACACAAATGTTTTCAATTTTGACAAGAAAAGAAATCAGCTGCAGAAGGTCACTCACTTTCTTTGACAGAATTAAAGCTATGAGAGTACCTTGGAACTTCAACCAAGGGCCAACTGAGAGGATTATTTAGACTGATAGGTTAGCAAGCAGTGGGTAAACTTTGTAAAACAGTTCAACCATTGCCATCACACAAAGTGACTAAAACAAACACCCTGACCTTTAGAGTTATATACTGAAATATTTACAGATGAAAAGATACAGTTTCTGGAACTGATTTGAAAGTAATCCAGTAAGATGAGGGCTCATAAGAGAGAAACCAAGTTGGCCATGTGTTGATAACTGTAAAGCTAGGTTATTAATACTTGAAGGATCACTATACTTTCCTCTGTACTTCTGAATATATTTGAAATTTCCCCACTAAAAAGGAAAAGGCAAAACAAATTTTGAAGTCAGAATATTTCATATTTAGAACATTTATAACTGTGTTAAAAGCCACCAAAGCTCGCTAAAAAGATTTTTAAAAGACACACAATCTAATAGATAAGTGAAAAGAAAATGTAAACAGATTAAAAGATAACCAACCTCAATAGTAACCAGAGAAATTCAAAATTAAACAAGTGTCATCTGCTACCAATCAATGCACAAAAAGTTAAAATACTGTTAGTACATAGCATTGACAAGGGTACAATAGGCACCCTAATATTCTATGAGTGTGATGTAAACTCAAGAATAATTCTTCAGGATCAATCAAATTTTAAAATTTCCATATAAAATTTGACCCTAAAAATTCTGTTATTAACAGTTCTATATAAATATTCACAATAGTCTCATGTGTAAAAAAAGAAAGTGGAAGTTGGGGGAGATAGATGGGCTAGGGATATAGCTCAAGTGGTAGTACTCTTGCCTAGCATGTGCGAGACACTGGGTTCAATTCCCAGCACCACAAAAAAGAAAAAGAAAAAAAAAATGGAAAAAGTCAGATGACATTCAATAATTCACCAATGTATTCATATTCTTTTTTTCTTTTTGGTACCAGGGATTGAACTTAGCTAAGTATGCTTAACCACTGAGCCATGTCCCCAGCATCCTCCACACCCCCCTTTTTATTTTAAGATAGGATCTTGATAAGTTAGGACGGGGCTGGAGCCGTGGCTTAGTGGGACAGCGCTTGCCTAGCATGTATGAGGCACTGGGTTAGGGCACTAGGTTTGATCCTCAATACCACATAAAAATAAATAAATAAAGGTATTGTGTCCATCTACAACTAAAAAAATATTAAAAAATAAAAGCTGCCACTGTGATTACAGACATGCACCACCATACCTGGCCATCAATGCCTTCTTTATAAAGTTAAAAAAAAAAATTGTAAAACATGAATCCCACTCAGCTTTTTAAAGATAAATAATATATATTTCTAAATATAGAAAAATAGTTATTACACTGACATCTATAAAGAATAAAATGCACAAGCATAAGTATATATTAATTTAAAAATGCAATGGAAATAGATATACACCAGTCATCTCCAGGCAGGAAAATAAAAGAATATTATAGAAAATGAAAGGAGTCATCTTATTCTTTTTGTTTCTTTATTCATTTTTAATCATACTTGTGTCCCTTTTATCATTAATAATACATATTTATGTAAATTAATCAATTCTCTAAGACATATTTTACCTTATCCTAAATCTAAACTCTAAAGTTATTTTGTTACTAAACTACTACATTGTTAAGTAACCTCAGAGTCTTATCTGTATCTGTATCTCAAGCACCAAGCACAGCTTCTTGTGGGTGTTTAATAAATATCTACTGAATGAATTAATTAACGTGGTAGTTAATAGACCTTTCTGTAAGAAAGCAGGTATCTTCTATTCTGTTACATCTATCACAAGTATAATCTTTAAATCAAATAAGTTTTAACAGTCCTTTAACTTATGAAAACCACAAACTGTGGCTTCTCTTCCTCTCATCATCTTTAAAAAGCTACCAAGAAAAAAAAATAGATCCAGTTTTTCATAAATTAAAACCCAAAATGAAAACAGGTGATTGCTGGAACCAATAAAGCCAAAGACACAGGATATACCAGCACTAAAGAGTGTAGAGTTATCACAAACATGATTCTTACCAACAAATTACTTTTTTAAAAAATATATATTTTTCATTATAGAGGGACACAATTCCTTTATTTTATTCATTTATTTTTCTGTGTGATGAGGATTGAACTCAGTGCCTCACATGTGCTAGGCAAGCACTCTAACACTGAGTTACAACCTCAGCCCCCCAAATTACTTTTTAATTAACTTAGCTTTAAGTTGAATATACTTACGTTCTCTGTATTCGATTTCTGCTTCCTTACGAAGTTTCTTCTCTCTGGCAAGAGCTTCAGGGCTTCCCCAAACTTCCAAGGATCTGTTACATAAAAACATTGTCATCACCAATTAACTATTTTAAGGGCTTTATTGTAATTATATTTAAATCTAAATAAACAATATGAGAATCTTTCAACAATGCATAAGGTCTTTTTGGAAAAATACACACTTTAGGAACTTTTCTAATTAAATATAAACAATAAGAGTAACCTCAACAACAAATTTTCTTATACATTCTGTCATATATTTAGGTAACTAGTACGTACTAGTAAAAATTTAGGAAATATAAAATTCTATTCCAAAATATGTCATTTAAAAAATCCTGAATTTATCTGAAATGTGTTTTTATTAATCCCAAATTTGGCTTCATTTTTATTCTAAAAGACATATGATCTTGTGGATGTGTAACCGATGTGATTCTGCAATCTGTATTTGGGGTAAAAATGGGAGTTCATAACCCACTTGAATCTAATGTATGAAATATGATATGTC